CTTTTGGGGACCAACATTCCAAATAAAATATCTGGAAATTACATATGTAAAATAATACGATATTTACAAAAAAAACAAACAATTTATTTCAAAAATAAAATAAACTTTTTACTTATTAGGTGACATTTAGTCATCAAATATTGAAAAAAAAATTAAATAAGTGTCAGTGCTTTCAACAGCCAAGACACGTTGTGGATCAGTATAAATTAATCTATGGACCAGTACAAGTCCATGGACTGGCATTTAGGAAACACTGCTCTAGGGGATTGAGACTCCAATATTGTATGGTTCAGATTTTGGATGTGCTCCTCCCAATTTCCACCCATGTATGCAACACCTCTTTCCACATTGGGTGAAAAGTATACCTGGTACAGAAGTGGTGCGGTCTCCCATGTATGATCCTCTACTGCAAGGATCTATTCTTTTAGGGTGTCCTTTTGACACCTATTTCTCCACCTATTCAATGTGGGATTCTAGCTATTTATGTGAGTAGAGGTAATGTATCGTATCGGAAGTTATAATTTTCCTATGCTGAAAATATATTTTTGATAGGTACTTACCTCCATTGTAAACCAGTGCTTGAATTTGCTGCCAAAACTCAAAGTGATAGTTTGGTAGAGGGAGTCACAGAGTGTGCCACACTCTTATTGGTGGAGGGCTGTTGCATGATGATTTGCATGTGAGATGCATTTGAATCAGTCGATTGTAAGGTACATGGGAGCTCAAGGCTTGTATAGAGAACAGCAGTGAATGAGAATAGCTATTTATGTGAGTGAAGGTAAGTACATATCTGAAATATGTTTTCAGGATAGGAAAATTATAACTTCGGTAAAACTTGAAGAAATATCCTGCTAGTACCCCAGTACTAGTAAAATAAAATGCATTACTTGAATATCAGGTAAGTATAAAATCATGGCAACAAGTTAGTAACATGATTTTTTGTGGATCTCAGGACCATGTGCTGGTAGTTGGTGGTGAATCTAATAAGTTGGAGCTGCATGATATCACTAGGAAATGTGCACTACAGATGTTTGAAGCTCATAAAAACAGGTGAGTGTAATTATAATTATCTAGCCACATTAAAACAAATGTGAAAAATATTTAACAGATACTGCTCTTAATGTGGTTTATGACTGAGTGTACCTTTAAAGTTATATCATCCAACAAAGAAAAGGCAAAAAACAGTAAATGCAATTATGAAATAGGTGATTTACAACTGAGCATAACATTAGTTGTAAATTTTACCCAGAAAAGAAAAATTAAAGACTTAAAGTATTAAAATCCTGAAGGGCTTTTTCGTAAAATGTAAAATGAATATAAAAATAATAATAATCTGAATTGGAAACCTCAGAAGAACAGTTTATAAAGTAACTAAAGTTTCAAACAAATGAACATATGAATTTATTCAGTAAAGCTCATTCTGGTACTTATGTGTAAGTGCTGCACATACACAAAAATTCAGTGATAATTTAGATTTATGAATATGGTATAGTGATATAACACAGCTACATTCATTGTTTAATGTGTGAATGCTGTACACTATTCAAGTTCGTGTTTGTAGAATGGATTAGTTGGTACATTGCAGGAGACGTGAGGATGTCATTCTTCTGCTAAGTGTTCTTTCTGACTTTCTTCTAGAATCAAAGGTCTGTATTGTGTGAGAAATTTTGGAACAAAGCAGTCAAACAGTTTAGTTCTGTCAACATCCAGTGATGGCTTTATTAAAGTGTGGAAGTTCAAGTCAAGTAAGGTGGGTAAAACAAGTTTCTTGTTATTTTGACGTGTTAAAATTTATTGTTTGTTGTTGATAAACATTTACTGCACTTGCAAATTTAGTTTTGGTTCCTACCAGTAATGTCTTTTTTTTTTATTTGACATATTATATTATGTTGTTTTCTCTACAGAGTATTGTTTATTTCATCTTCAGTTTGAAAGTTTCTCTCACAGTTTTCAGTTTAACAAGCTTAGCTAAATTATGACAGTTGTAGGACATTGTGTGTTATTATTCTGTGTTCATAGGTACATTATTTAAGTAAATAAATATTATATAATGTACTACTACAATTTGTATAAAATTAGGCTTAAATTTCATAAGCAACCAACAGCAAAAAACAAGAGGTCATAGATAAGTGACATATTTCTTGTTTTTGATGTACATTCTTTATTTATTATTATAAAAGTAACTAAAATGTAAAAATTATAAACTTTTTAGGTTAGATTGGGCAAAATAGCGAAAAAAAAAATCTTCACAACATATGCTTGCGAGCAACTTGTGCATTAGATCATTCAATATGGTAACATGAGCTGAGAATTGGCCGAGTGATTTACAACTTGTGTGGCAGGATTATTAGTTAGACACGGGTCAAAGGGCAATAATCAATTGCAGCTTCCTGTTACAATTTGCAGTAATTCTAGAAAGAAAAAGAAGGGTAATTTATATTTATTTCATTTTTATGGTGATTAAAAAGTCAATCAAATTGAATGTGCATAGAGTTATGGTAGAGAAAATAACAGATAAAATATAGTTTTCCTGAAAAAATGCATTTAATATTTATTTAGAAGGTTTTAAAGATTACACAAATAAAATTTGACAATTTTCAGGTGAAAAGTATTTTTTATCTTACCATGAAAATCACTTTGCAATTAGAGCAGTTAACACTCTGATTCCATATATTCATGGACAAATTTTTAGTAAAAATACTTAACTAAAAATCTGATTTTTTGTGTACAAAAACTTGTCATGTTTACTGAAAGCTTGCTGAATTTTTTAAAGATATACAAAACATATTAAAAGTTATATGGAAACTGACAGTTACTTTAGGACTATAAGATTAGTCACTTCGACTGAACCTGTAAAGAGAGGGTTTATGGAACTTGACACCACTTGTAGACCAACATGTTCAACTGTGCCATATATATGTCATATATTGTTATCTGAACATCCATCTCTGTTAATGAAACTTGACACCACTTGTAGACTAACGTGTTTAACTATGTTACATATTGTTATCTGAAGTAATCTACATGCTTTTTAACAGTTGGATGAACATCCATCTCTGTTAACGAAACTTGACACCACTTGTAGACTAACGTGTTTAACTATGTTACATATTGTTATCTGAAGTAATCTACATGCTTTTTAACAGTTGGATGAACATCCATCTCTGTTAACGGAACTTGACACCACTTGCAGACCAACTTGTTTAACTGTGTGTTATGAAAGTCCAATAAGAAAAGCTGTAACTCAGCCTTCATTAGACGTCTCTTCTCCCAAGGAAGAACTACAAACATCAGAAATTGCAGTTTATGGTAAGTATCTTGTTGAAATGTTATATTATATATCTGCCCAGCAACAATAAGTTCTGCCACACTATTTGCTAAGATACTTATTTAGTGTTTATACAGTTCAAGAATCTGTCTAAGAAAATGGTGTAACATAAAATACATCAGTGTACAACAATAACTTATGGACAAAACAATATGCAGAATAGTTTTTCTTAAGGATAATAATGATTAATATTTTATAATAAATTGTACCCAAAGCTAAATTATTCAATTTATTGCCAATGTACTAGATTAATAATGTTATTTCTATAATTTGTACTGACATCTAGCATCTGGTAATGATTGTAAAAAGCAAGGAAGCTCTAAAATTATAAGAACTGTTTTTATGGTGAATAGTTTATTCTTTGTTTATAATGTAACAGAAGTGGCAGACAGAGTGGCTCTTTCCCCATAAGAATACCTTGTAGAATCTTTAGCTGAATTTCATTCATGTATTAAGATTACATTTGATGAGGAGAGTTCACTAAGAACTCTAAAACTTGCAATAAAGTTTAAAAATATGTTTCCCTTTAGCATATAGAACCCTTCTTGTATTTAAAATTCAATTAAGACAAAGCTGATTGTGAGAGATTTAGAGTAGTCATGATTAACTGTCTTTCAGAAAATAAGAGGAAGAGAAACTCGAGTACAAAGTCATCACTGAAGAAGAAGAAAAAAATAATATGAACCTGCAATTTCTTGTTTGTATATATATACAAAGTTCTATGCTATTTGATATAAACCTGATCAATAATAAAAGAGTCCAGCTTTATTGTTTCAGGTTATCTGTAGTTTAGGCTCACTTAGTATATCAATGGAAACATAATATCACATATGTATGACAGTTTGTTTGTAATGTTTACAAAAACTAATTCTTCCAATAATTATTTATACACTTGGTATACCAAACCATGAAAATTTACAACTTTAGTAGTTTGACTTGTTAAAAAGTGACTTGCTAGCATGCACGAGTGGGTTAACCCCTTAGTCCAGTTGGTAGAGCAAGCACCTGCTATGTCAGAAGTCTTGAATTTGAACCACTGATGGTGAGAAAACAAAAATTGAAATTACCCCACAAATAATGATAAACAAATTTTTTTAAGTAATCAAATGTTAATTGTTTTCTATTTTAATATTATCATCACTTTTACAAATTTCTAAAACTTGTATAAAAAGTGGATTTTTGAAAACTTAATTATAAACGATGAACCACTTTTGGAATCTTGGGGAGATATTTCCTTACAGGAAAAGATGCAGAAGGAATGTGATGTGGAATGACTTGGGTATGTTGCTCCTTTTCCAAAATATCAAAATTTCCTGCAAAATAAATAAGATTCTCTTTACACCCAATGATAACAATTTTAAATATTTGGTCAGATGTTTTAGACCAGTGGTTCTCCATCTGTAGTATATGAAAATCTTTGGAAAATGTTAAAAAGAAAATAAACCTCACTTCTTAAACTTGGAGGACAGTCTTAGTGAGTTACAAACATATCCCATTAGTCAGCACTAAACATGTTAACTGACTCTTGAGTTATTTCTTTTGATTTTTCCTTTTTATTAACTAAACCACTGTAAAATCGTAAAGAATATTCAATGTTAAAACTGGTACACAATTAAAAACATTTTATTTATGCCTATCTGTGGCCTTCAAAAAGTTGACGACTCTACATGTTTCGACGTTGCAACGTCATCCTCAGGAGTGAATTACAAGACAATGCTAAAGTATTTATAATGTTTTAGTAGGTCATGTGACCTGTGTGCTATTTTACATAAATTTACGCTAAACCATTCAAAGGAGATCAATCCACATTCTTGCAGAAATATTCGCCATACATTCATCTCTATTTAATACTACATGATCTTCTTTATGTTTTATTATTTCTAAGGATTCACGAATATTATTACCTATTATACTTTTTGGTTGAGCTAATATTAGTTTTTCCCATAATATTGTGTGTTGTGTTTCCTGTACATGTTCTGCTATAGATGAATTTTCAGTTTTTTTATTTCTTACATATCCCTTATGCTCAATAAGGGAAACAGAAAAAATATGTTTATGAAAAAACTTACTGATTTTCAATAAGAAATGTGAAATTGACTTACAAGAATATAAGTATGATGCATAAAAATACTAACAAATGTTTTCCTAAAATTAAATTATATAAAAATAACTGCCAAATGAAAATATTTTAATAGAAATTTATAATCACAAAACAAAGTACCCAAATATTGTATGAATTATAATCAGTGTTTATTTTTGCTCTTCAGCTATGAGTACTCTAAAATTATTTGGACATTCATAATACATGATTCTAAAAAGTTTAAAAATCAGACTTAGACTTACTATATAAGAAAAACACGGTATTTGTTTTGAATTACCTGTCCAGGAGGAAGTACTAGATTTTTTTCTCTGGACATACATCTGCTGCAGGAATGTTTTACTTTCTTCAGTTATTTCTTTCCCATCTAGAATACCTGTTTTGTTGTTAAAAATGTATTTTTAGTCATAAAACCTTGACTCTGTCATTTGATGAAATAAGTATACAAATAATTTTAGTGTTTGGTCAACAAGATATAGTATAAGTATTTAATAGCTTGCAGTGCTTAAGCTTTTATAATATTAAAGAGGAATTTTGGAACTTGCTGTATGCTTAAATCAATACAGAGGTGACCTTATGTTACAAAGCTACAGCTTTCTAAATTAATTATATCATTTATAAATCCAACTCTTAGATATTTTAAGACTACTGAAAGTTTCAAGTTGTTTTAAATATCAGGCCTTAGTGAGAAGTATCTAGAAAGATTAAAATAAATTTTGTATTTTTCTCTATACATGTTACTAAATTAAAAGTGATATTGAATTTTTAATGCTTCCTGTGTATGATTTCTTAGTGGGAAGAGTTTATTTACTAACGTACTTAGAGTTTTGACATTCATTATCAATGTGGTTCGATAATACGGCAACCTACTAACTGGATTTCCAGCCAACTCGAGGTGTCTCAGGTCATTAAAGTGTTCCACAGTTTGCAGTACATATTCCAATTTCTGTACGCAGTTATTTTTAGCTAGTAACTTACTGAGAGATGTCAGTTCTTTCAGGTTGCTTAAAGTTGTCAACTGGTTTTTTGATACATTCAGAACCTTTAGACTTGACTAAGAAGTTAAAATAAAAAAAAAATATTGTTTTTCAATATTACATTAGTTTAAGTTTCTTATCACTTCACTTATGGTGTTATAACAACGAAGAAATATTTAAATATGAAAAAAAAAGTTTTAACCTATATACACAGGATGTCAAAATGCACATGTCACAACCATTTTACAGTTACATTCAAAATTTAATAAAACTACTTTCTTATTGATGTATGTTAATAAACTTGGTATCAAAACATAATTTATCACACTTTGTTCAACCCACCTGAGATGTTATGTATTTTAATAGATGTTGATAATTCTCTGACATTGCTGTTGGAAATGTTTATAAACAACAGAAATTCTGAAATACCTAAATCAGATGATTGTATGTTTTGTTATGAAGGTCAAAGCAAGAAGAGCTTGATGTGTTTAGACTAAAGTTATTCTGTGCAGTAATGACATTTTTTAACCTATTTATAAGTTAGTTAGAGAGCCAGGTAAATTGTAGTAGTTTTGGGACTTACTATTTTAGTGCTTGATATATTTTTTGTGTTCTAAAATACATATTTGAAAGCTACATGAATTATTTTTTAGATACCCAACAACAGCGGTATGTCTGCGGACTTACAACACTAGAAACTGGGTTTCAATACCTGTGGTGGGCAGAGCACAGTTAGCCCATTGTGTAGCTTTGTGCTTAATTACAAACAAACAAGATACCCAGCATAATAAAAAATATGGCTTACTAAATCACACACTGAGTGCAAGGTCTCAAGGCTAAAGTAAGTGCGAAATATCTTGTTTTTTATGTATATTTTTTATTTATTGTTATATAATTCTTAACAAAAGTAACTAAAATGTAAAAATTAAATACTTACTAGGTTAGATATGAATACTTCAATGAAAAAAAATATTAAATACAAATATTTATCATGATCACTCCTCGATTTAACCTGATACTTTGTTTTCCCTAAGGTATCTGCTCTCCCATCAGGTGATATAATGGTTGTCACAGTACTGAAAATGGTTCAAAGTACAATAATAATAAAGCAATAAAACTAAACAAAAGCAGATATTAAAAGTTAGAAAGCTGAAGCTTTTAGGATACATAGTTGTGATTGTATGTAACAATCTGCAATTATTCTAGAAAAAAATAGTATGTTTGACTTGATTTCATAATTTTCATTCCACTATATGTTGATGAATTCGCTACAGTTAGTGCTAGGATAGAGAAAATGAAAAAAAGTATATTCATTTAGGAGGTTATAGTGGTTAAGGAATTGAAATATGAAAACTGTAAGATGAAAACATTTTTATTTTAAGCATCAAAATCACCTTCACTCAGACTGACTCAATATATACTTTGTAAATTCGCAAACAATTCTTTAGTAAAAATACTTCATTAAAAAAATTGACTTTTTTGTATACAACATACTTGTAATTCTTACTAAAAGTTTGCTAAATTTTGAAGATACACTTAGTACCTTCAGAGTTAGTATGGTATAGTTTCATGTTCACATGGTGATTACAAGGTCATTCAAATCAACCACATGCTGGCATAGGGTTAATAGTAATAAATTTTGTTTTGAGTATTGTCTGACAGGTAGATAAATATATCAATAACTAATAGACATTGTCTAATATTTTACATACTACATAGGGCTCTGTAAACAGAAGATGTATGATATTTCTCACTCAAAGTTAACAAGCACTGTGCTGTATTCATGTCAGTTTTAGACTTAAACCAATGTTACATTATGTCTTTAGTGACAATTAATAAATGTGTAGCATGAAAACAGTGAGCACAATGTATTGTTCTACTGAAAAGAAATTAATTTAAATTAATTTTCTAAGAAAATAAAGTTTACTTACAAGTAGATAAACTTCATGTAAGTTTGGTTGAAATAGCTTGGAATCTATATAATTTAAGCAAAACTAAGTAAGGAAAAAAATTAAAGATTCAGATGGTGGATTTTGTTTCATTTGGTATAAATAAAGTGTAACTTAATAGTGATGCATATGTACTGCTGTGATCACTCAAACAGCACTTCTGGTCTCTAAAAGAACTGAATCCCAAAATGTCCTCTCTGAGAAATTAAAAAGTGTATATACTAAGGAACATAAGTGATCTCCTTTTGTAGTTACATAAAATTTTGATTCTAAGCATCATTGTTTACTGATATATGAACTTTTAATTTAATTTTATTAATGTATGTAAAGTGAGCTACCATATCTAGCCTCATAAAAAAAAAATGTCATTCTGAAGCCAAACACAAGAGCATCCATTTCCATAAATCATGTCCAAGTCAGCAAAAAGACCCAATGAGAAAATAAACAGATAGTTATACATGTTACACAAAGTTGTAACTGGATGTAGATGATGAGTTTTGAATTTCCAACAATTAAAATTCAAGTAGAAAAGTAATGTTTTACCTTTGGAAAAATACCTTCTTAGCTGCTAGTTCAACTAAAGGAATCACTATATTTAGTTAAAAATACCATGGATTTGTTAACAATATTTTAGTACAAAGAAGAAAAAATTACCTGAACTGCCCTGAGAGAGGAGTCATTAAACTTTAGACTTTCACCAGAAGGTAATGTTTGTTTCTCCACATAAAGTTCTTCTAGGTTTTTTAAATTTTCAAGGCCTTCCACTTTCTCTATAAAGTTTCCCCCTAAGTGGCTGCACAAAAGAGATATCCAGAAAAGTGTTAACTTCAAGTATTATGTAATTAATATAGTATAAGAAATAATACAAAGAATATAACAGTAAAATATATATATATAATGATAATAATACAAGTCCTGGAATAATTAAACAATAACTCTTACACTGGTTCATGATAATTTGGAAACTAAAACAGGGATCACTGTTTAAAAATAAAAGCCCTAGATAATGGTGTAAAATAACAAATCAATCTTGCTTCATATAATAAAAAATATTATATTATTGTGTAAAAATTAAGATTTTGGATCTTGGAAAAAAAAAGAACAAAAATGCTTAATGGTATAGAAACAAAATAGGAGCTTCAGGTCATAGTGTAAAATAGAAAAGTTTTTTGATCATGGTGTAAAGAAATGGTGCCTTGAATGGCATATAAATTTCAAGGATCTAGATTTTCTGATGAAGGTAAAATATTTATGATGTTATAGTGGTAAGAGATGTCAGTTAATTATAGCTTGTTATATAAATGTAAAAAGGTAAAATCTGATGAAATGTCAAACTTGTATAATAACATATATATAAACAGTGTGAATAGTGTAATTATAATTAAAGAGGATAAATCATAAATCAGTATTAAAAATCACTTTAAATAGTAACTTACAGTTTTTTGAGATTCAGTAGTGGATCTAGATTCTCCATCTTCAAAATTTTATTATTCTGCAGATAAAGAGCTGTGAGATTGGCCAGGGTTTGACAGAAAGGAATTTTCGTTATCTTGTTGTCATAGGCATACAGTATTTTCAGTTTCCTGCACCTAGACAACTCTCCCTGCACAGGAAATTTAAAGTTTCTAAGTTTTCATTGTTTATAACTTCACTTGTGATGAAGTAAAATTTGTACTGTATTTGAAGTTTGTATCTGCCTGGAGAGTATGAGTGGATCACATTTCATTTTCTGTGCTGAAAGGACTTTCTCAGGCCACAGCACTGAGAATGAAATGTTGCCTACTGCAATACTCTAGGCAGATGCAGTTAATAAAAACTACAAACCCAGCACAATCTATTTTTCCTAAAAACTCTTAAAAATTGTTGTTACTTTATTTCTTTTCTTATTATAAAAACACTGTCTAAGAAGCACTTTTTTAATATACCGGAAAGAAAGAACAGCTGCTAGTTACATATTTTTACAGAGTAATGCCAAGACTTACCATCTTGTGTTTTAGTACAAAATGGCTTTATTTACTCAGTTTATCTGCTCCTTGAGCTCTTGAGTATTAAAAGTATTTGTTTTGAAGTCATAAAATGGCATTGATTTACTCAATTCTTATGTATTAAAATCTAAGACCAACTAAACATCGTACTAGGTCCTCAAGATTCTGTTCTTGCAGATATAGGTGAGTTATTCTTGCCAGAAAGCTGTTCTGATCTTCTCCTTCTTGTCTGGACATCTGGCGTGAAGCACACTTCTCCATTAGGTTTTTAGTTGCCTTTACTACCATGATTTTTCTGGACAGTTGTTTTCTCCCTGATGAGAGTTCAGGAATGTAACATAACTTATTTTACATTTTTCAGAATCAGAATATTTTAAAAGTTTCCTAAAGGTAACTTAATAGTAGATTTGATAAATGTAATGTTTTAAATCTTACATGAACCCCTTCAATGAAGATTTATTAGAAATTTGACTTAAAATTCATAAACTGTTTTTGTGGTTATAACAAGTTGAAATAATTACTAGTACAAAATTTGAAATATTGTGATGTTTATCACCTGTTTAAAATCTTCTGCTATAAGTTTTTCTTTATGTAAATACATATGTTAAATTTTATAAATAGTTCTTCAACTAGTGCTTTTTAGTTTTCAAGTGGCTTCCTTAACATGTGGAAATACAACTTCCAACAATACATTGTGAAAAATGAAACTCTTAATTAACAATAGAGCACTGTCAAGATTCACCATTAAATTTTTTTTATCTCTGAAATGTGGTTTAATTTATGACCTTTCATTCAGTTTTTATTTTACATGTATTTATCATAAACCTTGTCCCAGTCAGCCCTATGCTATTTCTTCTCTACTTTTGTAGAATTAATGTATAGTTTTTATATTTTCAAATGAATCTTTAAAACAATCATCAGGTATTTAAATGCTTACTTCTCTCCAGGTCACTATTAACTTTCACCACTCTCATTATTTCCTGAAACTTGGAAAGCTAACAGCATAATTCATCCTGTGCCATGCTTTATTTATTTATTATTTTACATTATGCTGCTTTGTTAGAAAAACATGCATATACATTCACTGGGGAACACTACAATTAGTGTCAATTATCCAATTGACCGTACAGTAACTCTTACAGGATTAAGATTTCACAACCAATTCATTTAGTTTATCTTACATGTAATGTGTTTCTTTCCCATAAAACATAAAAATAAGCAAGGTGACAGACAGCCAGTCAGCTGTCTGAGATCAGTTTTTCACCTGCTGAAACAACTAATCAAGGCATTTAAACCAAACTAAATGTGTCACTTTTCTATAATTAGAAAAAGAATATAACTTTATTTACATATATATATATATTTGTGATGTATTCTATATTTAGTTTGCTAACATTCTCATAAACAGGATGTGAAAGGTTGTAAATTTGTACCTTAGATAAGGTCACATACCACAGTGATCATTGTGTAATAACTTGTTCTTGCTTGAAATTGTTTCTATATTAATGCTGCCCTAGGGTGAGGGTTATGCAGAGAATATACAAGTTAATATGAGCTGGAATTTATCTTCCTTGAATGTATGTATAAAAGGAATTATCATTGACATATGAGAGAAATCTAGGATTGTAGGATACTGCACTAATAACTGTTGTCTTAACAGTATGATATACCATTATTCTTACTCCAAACTTTACTTCGTGTAGAGATGATTTTCTCCAGGTCACCTTTAACTTTCACCACTCTCATTCTTGACTTTTCTGTGGCTGTTTTGCTTTCTAGTCTGTTGATCTAACAACAGAATAATGTACTTTCTCATAAGAGAGCACAAATACCTGAATATAGCCTTGATGACTCCATGAAATCACCACCTTCACCCACGGAGGAAGGTAACGTTTTGTTTGGTTCATTTAAGATTTTGTTAGCTGTTGAACCTTGTTTAACCATTAAATCTTAGTTAAGTTTCAGGCTTCAGTTTGCATTCATTATGTTCTACCAAGTTATGCTTTATTCAGAAATGTGTACTCACCTCTCTGCTCAACAAAGAGGTATTAACTTGTGCCACTGCTGTGAAGATTTTTGGACAGGCCACAAGCCTTCAACAAAGCTACCTCCCCTGCATGTATTAACATGTACTGAGCCAGCTAATAATGTAATCATCTTAGACAACATCTTAGAAGGGCAACACAATTTCTATGCACAGTAATCCCCATGAGGACTAGGGTTTGAACAAAAGTGCATTCCTTAGCAGTGCATGTTTTAATGTGTTTTTCTTAGAAATTAATGGTTTATTTGACAGCGCTAATTCCCTTTATTTTAACCCATAATACATTAAGTATTCTTCAATGCCATCATTAGGCCAATGATTAAGGTACTCTCCACCCTACTTGTCTTCATCCTTTACTTACTCAACGTTGTCACTATTTGTCTATACATCACCTTTTGATGATTTTGCATCATGACCTTATCAGCTTTACTGGAGAAAAGGGTATTCTAAAGTAACCGAATCCACCTGTGTGTACTTTGACAAAAAGGAGACAGTTGTTTGAAGTTTTGGATACAACTGTGGTAACCTATGGGGTAATGTAAGTGAATCTATTACAGATTGTGTAAGAAACAGAGTACAGGAAAAATAATTTGTCTTGTCAATGGGTTCTAAAGTAACTGAACCAGCCTGTGTGGACTTTTAAGGTGAAAAGAGGATTATTTTTAGTTTTAGATACAATTGTGATATCCTGTAGTGTAAAGAATTATTTGTACATACGTTTGACTTCTTTCGAATATATATTATTTTAAAACAAGTGGATTGTGTGCCGTCTGTTTATTGTTTAAATTTATCACCAATAAATCACAGACACCTACTGTAAAAGAATCCCAGCCCTTATATATAAAACCCTGACACACATACACCTTAACCTCAACTTTTTCTTTCATTGTATCCCAGTTAATTTTGTTTCTTTATTTCTGAGATTTGCTTAGTTGAGATACCTTGGTTTTAGGTGTTTGTCTCCCTCATTCTTGTTCCCTGCTGGGACAGCAGTAAGTCTGCAGATTTCAAATGCTAAAATCAGGGTTTGATTCCCCTCGGGGGACACAGGAGACAGCTCGAAGTGGCTTTGCTATAAGAAAAAACACTCTCATCCTTATTTCAGAGATTTCTGTCTATCACCCTTCCTTTTAGAAAAGGTCTTTAGAGATGGTCCTTACACTTAGGAAACTCAATTGGAGTTTGCTTGTCAGCAGTGTTTTCTGATTATTTTGGTTCCCAATTTTGGTCCAGAAGGTTGCGATAAGTTTCTTATCTTCAGGAGTTTTGTTAGTTGGTCCCTCTTCTGTTTTCATCCTCTTGCTTCTTTCCAGTATCCCCCATCTCAGAGGGCTAGCCATCACAAGTTATTGTTTCAGGTGCTTTTTTTTCACATCCTGATTTGTCCATGTGCCCATTGCTTTCTTTGGTTCATCCATGATGATTGGATTTTTTCAGTTCTGGGTTCTTCCCTTCAGTTTAGCTTCAGCATCACATAATTTTAATCACATTATAAGTGCATTTGCACATAGGATGCATTCATTGGGTCTCCATTTCCACTACTTTATAGATGACTGGCTCTTTCTTGCTTTGTCAAAGGAAGAATTTATGGTTGTGACCTCACTTCTCCTTTGGGATGTGTCTGTTTGGGTTGACTGGTCAAGTTTTTTAAGTCCATCTTGAGCTCTACTCAGTATCTGATTAATAAGGCAGTTATTTTCAGCTTATTTGAAGGTTGGGCTTAGCCATCTCCTTTATGTCTTCCAGACATGGAGCTTTTGATTTCAAATCTCTCATATCTCCTTTTTCTGCACAAGATGTTCTACCTCTTTTGGGGATCCTGGTTTCACTTGAGTCCATTACTCTTCTGCAACACACCTATATATGTTCCTTCAATGGAAGTTGGCAAATAAATGGAATATGTTCAGTGATTCCCTGTCATATTTTGTATCTCTTCACCACTTACTGTCTTGGTGGCTCAATTGATCCCAGAAAACACTGGGCATCCTTCTTCCCCCATCCCATCCAGATCTACATCTGTTCACTGATACCTCCATTTGTGGGTGGAGGTAGTCCTGGAAACCTACACTCTTTCTAGGGTATGATCTCCAGCAGAGTGGTCCTTTCATATTTACATTTTTGAACTGTTGGCTGCTCATTGTGCTTGCTGTAATCTTCAGTGTAATCTGTCTGGTCATCTTGTGATGATCCAATTGGACAACTCCATTCTTATGTCATACATCAACTGACCGGGACAAAATTGATCTTGGGAGCTCTGGATTATATTTTTAGGAACAACTACCACATTCGATTATCAGTCTGTCGTGTTCCAAGAACCGTGAGCTTGTTGGTGGATTGACTGCCTTGCTTGGACTGAATATTTCTCATGAAGTGGTCTCTCCATCTTCTGTTGTTTTGGTGGATTTGTTCCCACTTTGAGAGTCCTTTCCTCAGTGTCTTTGCAACTTCCTTCAATACTTAGCTTCCTTTTTTCTGACCACCAATTCCAAACTTCTACTTTAACTGGTTGGGGTCATCAGCTCATTTGGTTTGTTTATTCTGATATTGGAGAGATTGCTTGTCAACCTTATCAGATAAACTTCTATGAGATTCGTCATCTCATGGCTTCTCTGGTCTCTCACTGTTGGCGTCTCCTGGATGAGATCTGGCAGATAAAAATATGGACAAGTCACTGAAAGATGTCTCATTACTTACATCACATGGTAGTGTTATCACTCTTTAAGTCACTAATCTCCTGTCTTCCCAAAGACTAGAGAGGTGAGAGGTGATGATTTTGTTTTCTTTTTACAGCTCCTTCAGTGCCATTATTATATATCAATGTATATATGCTAGAGACAATGTAACTCACCAAAGGGCCTTCTCTTTCCCACAATCCTCATTGAGTGGAAGGAATACAGAAATTGTTAAGCACATTTACCTCTGCTCAGTGCCTAGTTTAGAGTTGGGCTTTTCTACATGTTTGCTTTGGCAATGTATAAATATATTATCTTCTGGGCTGTACTTCACGAGAAAAAAAAATTGACAACACCAGGTGTGTGTGCCTGCCCTTACACTTGGCTAGCTCCTGTTGTCCATATTTGTGATAACCCATTTCACAGTCTATCAGTGTGGGACTTATGCAGATGTGACATTTCCTGTTTGTTCTGAGCACCTTCTAGTAAAGTACAGGAGAACCCTTGCTTCCACAGTCCCAAGCTGCTGGGGAGGTAAATATGTGGAGTTCCCCATTGGGTTGGTGTAATCCCACTGGTATAGGATTGAAGAGACACA